TGATGTTTACTTCTTGTGTAGGATTAAATATCCAACAGTCATTCCTGGTTTATAATATCATTATCTCCTCATCTTCTTTGTATATTTACAGAGAACAATTCCTGAAGGCTTTGTGAGAAGCTTGTCCCACAATGAGCTCTCGCGGAAAATGAAGATAAGAACGCAATGGGGAAAGTCATGGGAAGTCAAAATCACCAAAACCCCGAGATTCTACTTCATGGAGAAGGCTGGTTGGGAGAAATTTGTAAGGGACAATTTTTTAGGAGACGGTGAGTTAATTACATTCACTCACAAAGGAAAAATGGTTTTCACTTTGACAATCTTTAACAAAAATGGCAAGGAGATACTCCAACCTCGACAAGCCACGCCCTTCTTAGCTTCTTCTAGTAAGATTTGCTTTTATGCTTATGAAATACTAAACTAGCTAGATAGAGACATTGATTATTCTTTACTTTTGATGATGAACGAGGCCGGATTAAGATAGACCAAGAGGAGTTAGAGGTTCTGTCTTCTGAGTTGAGTAGTCTTGATTTGGCAACAGAAGCTGAATCTAACGGAAGAGTAAAACAGAATCTCAATTCTGTTGCAGAATTTACCATCGCCGTCCATAAATCATACCTCATCTACATGGTAAGATAAGACAAACCAAGAGACTAAACACAGTCTTTGTATAGGATTTGTTTTAAAAAAGAAAATGATATTTGAATCGAAATAAAGTTTTTCTTATTTTTACAGCTGATCCCGCTATCTGTTACAAAGGATCATATGCCAGAAGAGAATACTACGTTCAAGATACACCATCCGGATATGAAGAAGTCATGGGATGTGGCTTACGTGAAATGGCATGTAGTTGCATACTTCTCTGATGGATGGAGTCGTTTGGTTAGGGAGTATCCTCTTGTTGTTGGGGACCCTTGCAAATTCACATTCATTAACCCGACTGAGCTGCTTCTCGTTGTCTCTAAAACAAAAGAGGAGACTCACTAAGGGTGCCTTGGAAAAGAAGTCACTCTGAAAAAAAGTGTGTTTGATTGTGTTGTTTCGACTTTAGTGTTATGACTTAGCCCGGTTTAACTTTCATGAGAAGAACCATAACCTTTTCTTTTGTCCACTGGATTGATCTTTGTAGTTTAATGTGTTGGATCTATTTAGTATGTTGTGTGTTTGCTGTTTCCGTGAGTCTTATCTTATATGTGCCCATACTTACTTGGAACAGATTTCAACAGAACTATGGCAAAATCTTCATTCGACATGGTAGCATTTAAGACTCTCATATCAAATACTATATTTTATCAATAATTCAAGCCATCGAACTGTCGTTTTAAGTGGATTCTATTTGGCAGAAACTTTGGCAGAACTGTTGTTGTTTTAAGTGTTTTAAGTGCATGCTCATAGCAATGCTTTCGTTTACTACGTTTTGAACCAAGATTCAAGATCAATAAGTTTGTTGGTTGAGTGTGGTGATTATTTTACTTTGCACTGGTTTTGCGTTTTATTGATAAGTGTTCTTTTCGGTAATTGCTTCCTCTTGTTTAATAAGTTCGTCAGAATAATCAGATTCTGGATATGATGAAATCATGCCGTGAACACTGTATTCATATGTCAAAAATAGAATTCATTTGAATGAGAAATGGTTGTCTAAATTGACAATCTTGAAAAGCTTGTAAAACTTGCAAATCTGACTAAATGTTAAAAAAAAGTTTGATATCCCACATTAAAATTTATGAAGAGATATCTTTTTGTCTGTATAGTGAAGTCATAACAAGGTTCAATATAATGGGATACACTACGGTGTATTGGAGAGAAGACACACATACCCATCCACACATACACATATTTAATGTAAGTGGTTATAATTAAGTGTAGAGTTAGACTTTTTGTTATCTTAATTATGGATTTATTGATCAAATAAAGACTCTCAATTTTGGCCAGATATTGAGAGATGTACAGTCCAAGAAAGCTATTTACATTCGCAGAGAAGCGCCCGCTACTTGTCATATATGGTTTACTTGCAATGGATACCTAATTTGTTCAAGGTTTGACCAATTAATTAAGTCAATTATTCATCTTGTTTTCTGTTAACTGCAAACTATACATTAGTCACTGTTTAGAGTTAATGGTCTTTTAAGTTTTGCTTGTAATTCACACTACACAAGTGTTTTTGTTTGGGTATGATATTGATGCTAATCAGAATGTGCATTGTCAAACTCTTTGAGCCAATCAGAGATAACTAAAGGAACCCTCACAGTCAGCAAGAATATCCGTGTGTGTGTGTGGACTGTCACAACTTTAGCAAGATCATGTCCAAAATCATTATTGGTAGGGAGTTGATTCTGAGAGACAACAAACGTTTCCATCACTTCAAAGATGGTAAATGTTCTTGTGGTGATTACTGCTAGAGCTTCAGATTTCTTTCCGTGGATTTGTTTTCGCATCATGTATAGCGCTCTCCAGAACTCTGCTAGCAGTTAGGAATGGAACAGTATTCGCTACGCCGTAACAAATTTCATCTGCCTTGAACCCTATTAAATTCATAAGTTATTGCATTTTGAATCTATTATTGGTCTTATTCTTGAAGAACATTGGAGATCAGGTCGATTCAAAGTCATAAGAATTCATGTTTGGAAACAAGATTTAATTACAATAAT